TCCTCGAAACCCGGTCATGCAACAAATACTGGACAAAGAAATAAATGAATTATTACAAAAAGGTTGTATCGAACGCTCTCATAGCCCTTATAGCTCACCGGTGGTATTAGTGAAGAAAAAGGATGGTAGTTGGCGACTTTGCATAGATTATCGTCAGGTAAATGCACACTCAATACCAGATGCCTACCCGATTCCTCGTATACAACACATTCTAGATCAACTCAGAGACGCCAAATATATCAGCAGCCTTGATCTCAAGAACGGGTATTGGCAAATACCAATGGCTGAACAAAGTAAAGAATATACTGCGTTTACAGTACCTGGTCGAGGGCTATTTCAGTGGCGCGTGATGCCTTTTGGACTGCACTCCGCTCCAGCAACATTTCAACGAGCGTTAGACACAGTGATTGGTCCTGATATGGAACCTTTTGCTTTTGCATATCTCGATGACATCATCATAATTGGTCATACACTGAAGGAACATATGGAAAATTTGCGAAAGGTATTCCATCGACTAAGGTGTGCAAATCTAAAAATCAACGTACAGAAATGTAAATTTTTCATGAAAGAAATAAAGTATCTTGGGCATTTGGTGACACCACATGGTATACACACTGATCCCGAAAAGATTGCAGCCATAAAAGAGTTACCTGTACCAAAAGACCTCAAGGAACTACGACGGTGTATTGGAATCGCCTCGTGGTATCGCCGTTTTGTACCACACTTTTCAAATACAATACAACCCCTTACGATGTTATTAAAGAAAGGTAAACGATGGCAATGGACGTCAGAGCAACAAGTGGCGTTCGATATGTTGAAAGAAAAATTAACGAGTGCCCCAATTTTAGCGTGCCCCAATTTCACCGAACAATTTGTATTGCAGACAGATGCTAGTAATTTTGGACTTGGAGCAATATTGACCCAAGAAATAGACGGCGAAGAAAAGGTGATAGCTTATGCAAGTCGCAGTTTAAATCCAGCTGAGAAAAACTACTCGACGACTGAAAAGGAGTGTCTGGCGATTGTTTGGGGAGTAAGAAAAATGAAACAATATTTAGAAGGTTATCGTTTCGTAGTCATAACCGATCATCTGGCGCTGAAATGGTTAAACAACATTGAAAATCCAACTGGTCGTATCGCGCGCTGGGCGCTAGAGCTGCAACAATTCAATTTTGAGGTACAATATAGAAAAGGAAAGTATAATGTCGTCGCCGATGCACTATCTCGTCAACCTCAAACTACACTGGCCCTGGTGAATATACCTGATATGAAAAAAGAAGATGGACAGTCTTGTATATGGTTAACGAACTTGAGAAGAGCAATAACCGATAATCCAAGTAAATACCCCGACTATTCTATCGAAAATAATCAGCTGTACCGTCGTATACCCAACTCTTATAGCAACGAGGGACATCCTTGCTGGAAACTGTGTGTACCGCAAGCCATTCGGCCTCAAGTATTAAAAGAGTGTCACAATGATATCACGGCAGGGCACTTAGGTAATCAAAAAACGATCCTTCGAGTTACATCGAGATATTTTTGGCCAGGAATGTATCGCGACATCAAAGAATATGTGCGGAAGTGTGATACCTGTCAAAAATACAAGGTCAGTCAACAGCCTAGTGCAGGAAAGATGTTAACGAGTTTACCAGAAGAGCCATGGGTAACAGTATGTGCAGATTTTATTGGGCCCTTACCACGTTCAGTTAAAGGAAATACGGTAGCGTTGGTATTTTTTGATAAGTTCTCTAAATGGGTGGAGATTATACCAATGAGGAACGCCACGACGGCCGGTGTTAAAAAAGCCTTCAGAGAAAACATCATGGCGCGGTTTGGGATTCCGAAGATCTTGGTCACAGACAATGGAACACAATTTACGAGCAAGGTGTTTCAAAAATTCTTAGTCGAGTTGGGCATAAAACATCAACATACAGCCCCTTATACACCTCAGGAGAACCCGACTGAACGTGCAAATCGTACAATAAAAACAATGATCGCGCAAAACTCAATAGTTGACCACCGACACTGGGACGAGTGTTTACCCGAAATCGTGTTAGCGATAAACTCCTCTATTTCGTGTTCAACAGGTTTCAGTCCGGCATATATTACTCAAGGTAGAGAGCTTCGAATGCCGAGTACATTATATGATGCAGTGACACCAGGACTTGGAAGAGCTACAGAATCTCCAGATAACAAAGCACGAAAGTTACTTGAAATATACGCTATTGCTAGCAGAAACATGGGAAAAGCATCACAAGACCAGGCAAGATATTATAACCTCCGACGACGGGAGTGGAAACCAGAACTTGGCACACTGGTACTTAATCGTTCACAACCACTATCTAATGCACTAGACGGCTTTAATGCAAAATTAGCCCCGAAATATTCAGGACCGTATGAAGTAATAGACTTTGTATCACCGGTCATAGTGAAGCTGCGTGAACTACATGGCGATAAAATAATTTCGGCTCACCTAAGTCGAATTAAACAGTATCATTGTTAATTTAAAATTATTTTGTACCACTTACTTAATCTTGTTTATCTTTATAGTTGTCATCATTCTGAAAATTCGCTGTCAGATGAGGTGAGCGAGAGTCGTCTGGAAGACATCCTGCAGATCACGGCCCCTCCTGATTGGTGGGACATACTTCATACACCTCCTCGAGTGACGAATAGCAGTGATTGCCCTCCAACGCCTCCAATTGCCAAAACCATTTTAAACCGCCAAGAAAATGACAACAAGCACTATCGCAAACGAAGCTGGCCGTTTAAGTCAGGTGATACAGAAGCAAGAGATGATTACATGAACCATTTCCATGAACAGCGAGTTATACAGCACTCTATGAGACAAACCATAAACAACTGGGATTGTCCAGCAACTCCTCCAACCGCTAAAGCCATTCTACAACAGCAAAACGCCCACGAGAAAGCAGTCACATCAAAGCATAATAATGAAGATACCACTGCTGAATTTCTGAATGAAGACTTTAGCCCGGCGAGAATACTACAGAAGCAGGGCTATGATTTAAAGAAGTGGTCCAGAGGCAGGCGTCATCGGTTCAAGGCGACATGGGACGGCAAAACTCGACTGATTCGTATCGCCAGAAATGGAGATATCCGCATTGATATCCTTTCGTAAAGGAAGGAGGGAGTGTAACGATTACAATTTTTGCAATTTTTAAATTGTCACAACGTCGTGGGTATGGCTGTTTTTTTTGAATATTAATTTTTTTTAATTAATATAGTTCGAACTATATTAATTAAAATAAATTCAAATTAATTTCCGCGAATTCCACTGCCGCCATCAACCGAATTTTTTTACAATGGGCAAACTGAAATTGCAATAAAGTAAAAAGGAAATTAAAGTTGTGTATACTAATATATTGGAAGAATGCTCTACTGCCCTTGTTGAATATTAGTTGGATCGAACTTTATGAATTAATTAAATTAATTTAAAGAAATTTCCGTAAATGGCACTGAAACACATTTTATAAAAAAAGAAAGATCAAAACAAAATTATAATAAAGAAACGAGCTGTCAAATTAAGAAAGCTTTTGAGCAAAGATGTGGAACTGAAACAAAGCTTAGTCCAGAAACAACCCATAACTTCCACATGAATTCGCCTTGAGGCGGGATTTCCATTGGTGCATTGCAGTGGGATTAGTTAACGAGCTTCGATCACGGTCGTTGAACTCTAACGTAGTTACAGCTGATACCGTTGATCGTTAACGATATAAAACTGCGTGCATCAGAAAGAAGAGCTCTCTTGGTTTTTGATTTTCTTGGACACAGTGCGGTGAAGTGTCGAACAACAAATTTTTTTTAAAAAAAAAAAAAAAGGCTCGGAAGTGTGGCTTATTTCTTCTTTGTGTTGAATAAAAGTAAAAAAAGTGAAACATTTATAAACCTATTAGTATGATACATAGTTAAATTTAAATAAAGAAGTTTGAATCTTAGAAATTTTAATTAAAATAATAAAATCGCTCGTGATTGATTTTGAACACAACGTATGGTACCCGCGACACGGCGCGAAGCGGTAAAAATATTTGTGGTGGACTTAACAATATAAATCGAAAAATTTATTTGAGTTACTTTGAAAAATTTTAAAGAACAACAGTACAAAAAGAAATAATCGACGGCTTTAACAGTGGTCGATTATAAGAGTCCGTACAAGTACAAGTTCTTTACGAATTTCGTATATCCTAACGAAAGTGTTGACACCGCAGGCAACGGGCGCGGCGCGGCTTGGGTGTCCTCTCGACATGCTGATGAACACAAGGAGGTAATTGAAATCTTAAGTGCTGCTGGATTTTTTTTCTTTTCACCCTGAATTGGATGTTACATCATTACGAAGCTGAAATGTTAAGGTAATGTTCGATCTATTGAATAGTTCTTTTGCTGAAATAATATGCGTATAAAAATTGTCAAATAGAAAAACATAAGAAAAAAAAAATTAATGTACAATTAAATGTAATTTAATTTTGTTTTAATATTATTTTAAAATTCATAATTGTTTTGAAATTTAATTATTTATTTATTTCATATAATTAAAAAAAAAAAAAAGTGTTATACAATTTTCGATCTCTGGAATAATTCTTTTGCTGAAATAAAAATGCGTATAAAAATTGTCAAATAGAAAAACGTACAATATTATAATCTAATTTTCTTTTGAATTATTTATTTATTTTCTATAATTAAAATTTTTATATTGTTAAAAAAAGAATTTTATTTGTTGTCTATTATTGTTTATTACATCGCAACGGTGGAAACTACGTTGTTAAACGCTTGGGTCTCTGCGAATAAAAATTTCTTGTAAGACCTTGGACTCGGCTGAGTACTACCCCGGATACAAAAAGTAGGTTCATTACATATTAAATATTGAAAAACTCACTAACAACGTGAGGGTGATATGGCATATATGTATACGTGGCGATACAGCGAGTCGTACAACAGGCTGTATTAAAACTTGAAGTTTGATGTTTGTAATTTTGATCGGATTCTATTCAAAAACAATTTTGTATTGGATATGGTTAAAACTGTGAGTTTTTACTAGCAGTAAAGTGTTAGAATGGCTGATCGACTAACACAGTTACAAGATACAGTTAATCAGGTTTGTATATGAAGAATGTACAACATTTTAGGTGAAATATATAAATTGTTATATTAAAGCAAGCCGAGCATTTTTGCAACGCTATTGGAATCATACAACAAACTTCTTACCCGAGCAAATTTACGAATTTTGAACGAACTGGTTCACAGACGCCAAAGCAAAATGCTACCTTAGATGACTTCGCCCAACTTTTTTCTCAACTAATATCTAGATGTGCCAAGGATATCGACACTTTAATTGAATCATTGCCTAACGAGGACAGTTCGAATGAGCTACAGAATCAAAGTCTGAAGCGTCTTGAAGTTGAGAATCAGGAGGCTGCTGAACAATTGGAAAATATCGTTAAATCCGGGGATCACATGCTAGCAAAAATTCAGTCAGCCTTAGAAGATATCGCAATTGCACAGTTAAATATGCAAATAAATTTAAAAAAACAAAAATAAACACATAATTATAAAGATCTGTTTCATTTTGCAGGAACGTACTGGTACGAAACTATTATCTATAATATGTTTGGTAACATGATTGTTTCTACTTTCAATTAGTGAAACATTCTTTACTATAATATATCATTCAAAACAGTGTTAGCATTTTTTAATTTTGGCTTTTAAAATAGTCGTGTTATTGTTTCGGATTTTTTGTGAATCGGTCAACGTTTTAAAAAATTGATACTAACAATTGTTTAGTAACACTTTTTATTTACTGAAATAAATTAATCAATCTACAGATTGTATGGTAAGTTGCGGTAACTATAAGTTATTTCTAAATTATATATATTTTTATTAATAAATTTCCCTCGGTACAAACATATATTTGCTTGCAATAGTTGATATACAAAGTGTTGCAAAAAGCTAGGCTAGGAATGGAAAATACTTCAAAGCATATTTTGCGTTATTGAATACAATTATTCGTCTTCCATTATTAAATGCAAATATTCACTTTGCATTTTATAATTAATTCTATTACTCGTTCTATTACGTTATTGAATGCTAATATTATTCATTTTGCATTATTAAATGTATATATATAAATTAAATATATAAATTTTAAATTGAAAAACAGTGAGAAAATATGTTTGTGTTTCAATCTATTTCTTTTACCTCATTGAATATTATTTATAATAGTATTTATATATATTTGTAATTATTTGTATTTATTTAATTATAATTATTAGTATTTATAAATATATATACATATATATATATATATACATTTTTATGAAAGTTATAAAAAAAAATATATTATTGTTTTATTCTTCCTATTCTAAATAAAATAGGAGTCGAACTTTTGTCCCTATTCCAATTTCCCCTATTCTAAATAAATTTTAAATAAAAAAGAAAGAAAAAATTCGTACCGAACTTCGTGTAGTTACAAATGCTGCTTCAGTTGATGGAAAATAATCCAGATTTTGCTAACGGTTTCCATAAGGAAAGCAAAGAAAACGTTGCTGGGTTCAAGAGCAATGCAGTAAAAACCCTTAAGTGGAAGGCTTGCCTCTGAAAAAATTTCGATTGAACTCCACAGAAGACCCCATAACATTTCAGTCACAGTGTTCAACAGCACAGGTAACTGAAACTGAATCTGAGAAGTTCGAATATGAAGAAACTTCTTTGTCTAAAGCTTTGGCCAAAAAAATTGTCTATCCAATTACCAAAGTATTAGCAAGCGATAGAGATATTGCTATAAAAGAGAAACTGGCATACTCATATAAAAGAAAATATGCGACACCACCAAACTTTAAATAAGAAACAATAAGGAAAATAGCACCAAAAAGTAAACCAGTCCCTTGAAAAAATATACGCAAATATTTCCGGATAAAAAAAAAAAACAAAAACATCAAAAATTGGAGGAACAAAAGTGATACTATTTATGTATTGAAAAATTCAAATTACGAAAAATTAAGGAAAACTTATAAAAAATCGTCAATTTTTAGAAATAGTTTTTGTAATATGGTTCGCAAGTTTTCGAAGTGTGTAGCTAATACATTGCAATTTACGTCGACCTATCTAACTTGGAACTGTTTCTTGTAAACGGCTCCACAGGTTTTCATTTCTTATTCTTTCAAGGCATATGTATTTTTGCTTCAATGCGGTTATAACCTTTACATGTTTCACAAATATAAAAGAGTACAGATTTTATAATTAATTTGAAAAAGCGGAGTTTCGTTTTATGAGATATTTAGTTCGATTTCCATATGTTCATCAGCATATCAAAGTTAGAGTTTGCTTTGTTGACGACATCATCAGCACCAGTTTTAGCTGTAACTACACTCCACCAGATACACAAAGTTTTGCACTCACTCTAAGTTTTCTTCGCTTAACTTAAGCACCAGACATTATATGGAGCAGTAGCCGCTGCTTAATATTTGTTTTTTTTTAATTGATTTTCAAGTCAGCAATTTTGCTATTGATCACTAGTTAGATCAGCCAATAACTACACTACAACCAATATCGCTCTCAGGAACATTATACATACTGAGCCTCGCCACCACCTCAAGGTAGCAATCCCTGGAGAAGAAAAAATGAATAATGGTAATAGTTCTGCCCTTTTTTGATTTCAGCTTCATTTCGTTGTACCCTGATTTGTCTAGTGGATGTTATACTATGCTCTTAACTGATTTATTTTATATGCCCAAATTTTCTTTTGGATAATTTTGTGAAATACCATACACAAATAAGGTCATATATACATATTTCAGGCGTTAGTCTAAAGAGAATATACGGTTTGTGTCAATGTTGGTTTCTAAAGTGAGGCATAAGAAAGAGTAATTACAAGTAGTGAATGTATTTTTTGACAAAATATACATATTTGCAAAGTGTATATCTTCAAATAGAGCATATCCCAAAAGTTGTGCTACTTATGCCTGAATTGCTCTTTCTACCCCTTTAAATAATTTTAAGTTTCAATTTATATATACATATACAGTCTAACTTCTATAACTCGAATTCTAATTTTGCAAAGAATAGGTTCGACTTATGGAAACATCTAGTTAGAGAATTTTTTTATTTTTGAAAGAAACTAGAATCACATTTTAATATATTTATTTATTTGCAATCAAATAAGGCACAGAAGTTATAGCAAAGTAAAATATTCAGAAATTAGGGTTTGGGACTTTAATTTTTTTCTTATTTTCAGTAAAAAGAGATTCCACTTTATTCATACTCTTATAGTGATCATCATTTGTAGTATCATGCGTTTGCAAATATAAATTTTGAATAAGTCTTCTACTTCATTCTTGGAAGGTTGATAGACAATTACATCCACCGAACCCTCATCATCACTTTCCGTTGCGCTTAGGTTTGGATAAACTAATTCAGAGCTATAATGCTCAATAATATCGTTATCTTTAGGAAAGTTTGATGTACAAATTTCATTGTCAAGCTCAATATAAACGTTAAGAGTAGCATTGGAAGTTATTTTATTTACTGCAAACCACGCTGCTAGCGACTGGCATTTGCACAAAGAAGCAACATAAGAAAGAAAAAATTAAACATTTGATTTGGAAAAGGGACTTCCCCTAACACCAAAATGGATTCATACTTAAAACAAAATTCAACTTATAGAATGCACTTTCCCATATTCCTGTGAGCACGGAACAAAATTTTTGTTCGAGTTATAGAAGTTCGAGTTATGGAAGCAGATTTGCATGTAATTTGCTTTCTAAAACTTTGGTGCACTGTTTTTGGTTCGAGTTATGGAAGTTTGACTTTATATATATATATATATATATATATATATATATATATATATATATATATATATATATATATATATAATTATTTAGGAACATGTTTCTAGTGCTATTAAGACACATCTTTACAATTATGTATCATTCTCTATCATATTTCTGGAAAGTCATTTTGTATTCATATTCGGAGAGCATTTTTATTGCACCTCTTCAAAACGACGAATATGCGACATTACTAAGTCGTTCGCCTCTTCTTAAAACTATGATCATTAGCTTGGTTAATTTCATTTCCATATTCCACTGCAAGTGATAAGATTCATCCTTTAAATCTTCCTTTCTTCAAATATAACATGGACAATTGTCAATAGATTATATATGCACTGTAAAGTTAAATATTTTGCACTAAACCCTGTTTAGAATTTATTTAAAATATTATGTCTTTCCATCATTTGTACCAGTCTTTGAATATACTATTTTTACCAATATTTTTGCTATGAAGCTCATGAACGATATTCCATGATAGTTGGCGGCTTGATTAGCGTCACCTTTCTTTAATATCTTTCTTTAATAATATTTTGTTTGTGCTAAGGCATTACTCTAATGGCCCTTTACCGTAAATCTCATTGTAGAAGAACTCACTAGGTATACAGTTCTTCTTAGCGCCCTATTTTACTTCCACCTTTAAGTATTTCTATTTTAGAGTGTTATTTGCTTATCGAAGAAATCATAATTTTATTACATTTCACCATACTATATATCGGTTGAATTTAGATTAGAATTTAGAATTCTTCTAAAGTGGTTTTAAAAATCATTTACCCCAATGACATTTGTTAATTTGAAGCAAAGATATTACTTTTCTCGTCATTTACAAGCACTAATTGCTATTTTTAGTCTTGTTGAGTTCAACTTGTATCTTGTACGAACTATTTTCTTCTATTGTGGCATTGGTTTTTACATTCCTTATTTAGCTCTATATATTTAAGTCTATCTGTCTTTCCAGTTGTGTAATACCGGATTTACACAGGTTTCATTCTTTATTCTTTAGCTGCGAAATATTTTCAAATGACATCTAAAATCAAGAAGAAAATCAAACATATTGATTGATAGATTTATTATATATAACTACTTTCAAAAATTATTTTCTTTGCGCATATGATATATATACATACTGCACAATACTGTACGACGGCGAACTGTCCAAGTTAAAATCAACTTGATTTTGTAGAAATCACAATTCAATCCTATTTCAGCAGTACAAATCTTCTTTATTTGATCTTATTTTGCTATTGAAATCAAGAATAATTTAAATTGACAGCTAAAATTACAATCGAACCTCTCGTGTAAATCCAGTATAATATATACATATAATAAAATTACATTGATACGTCATGTGAATCTATATTTTTGCTTATTAATTTCAGATGTCAGTTTAAAGTTTTTGACAGCTAAAATTACAATCAAAACTCACGTAAATCTAGTATTACGATATTTGTTAACAAGAGTTTTATTTCTTGCACGAAAACAATTAGCATCAAGCATCAGCATTGGCATCACAGAACTTCTAGCACAATTGTTTGCCTTTCGCTATTTGTATTATATTTAGATTATCTTAAGATTATAGATAGGCATACTGTCAAACCGCGATTTAACTTTAACCGTAAGTTAAGGGTAAGTGTTACAATATACTATAAGAAATTACCGCAAAATCTATGACAGAACTAAGTGCTGTAATAAAAGGAAAACTTCGAACTTTAATCCCTAATTTTTCGCACCGTCATGCGCTGAAGCAGTTTGCTGATGATTAAACCCGATACATTTTTTAGCCTGACCATTTAATTTTCCATGGGACTCAAATATTGAGTTTTCAAAATTCTATGTAAGATAAAATATGTGAAACAATATTGACTTCTTCAGACTACAAGAAACTGCTAGCCCATATAGAGTGATGAAATTATTTGTTATGAAAAGAAAACTTAAACTGAGACATGTAGTATAAAAAACCATCCAGCAAAAAGTTAAATTTTATGCAGATCAATGTATAACTTCTAATAATAACTGGAAAGCTGTTGCAAAAATTAATAGAGTGTGCAAAAGATTTACGTTCTTGACGAAATAAATCATTAATGATGAAGAGAAAATGCACCTGGATATAAATGTGATGGTATAGAAGCTTACACATAAATGTTAGAATTTAAGGCTTTTTATATAAATAATCACGTACAACTGTATTACATAATATTACATTTAAAGTTCTTTTAGATATTAAATGAGATTTACATACTTAATTTAGAATGTACACTTGTCAGATGAAAATAACTTTTATAATTTACATGCTATATTCTTTTAAAACATCCTATTAAAATAAAAATATCTTATTGCTAAAATACAGTAAGGTGGTGATCTGTAAATGAATTTTACATAAATAATTGAAATATATTCACGTCGAATTCAATTCAATGTGTACTTATATAAAGGTCTAATTAATAACACTAAGTAGTTGTTGAAAAGACATTTTTAGTTTTAATAAACAAAGAGTTTAACTATGATTATAAAACTGATTGCAAAGAACGCCAATAAACTTAAAAATTATATAATACACAGGAAGTATTGCAAGCAATTTATATACGGCCAACTTAATGTTAATAAGTAAAAGTTAATTAAAAAAATAAATTAAAGCTTATTTTAAGATTGAAACTTATTTATAATAGATTAATTCAGTGTTCCTCGACAACCTTGTGCTCCACATAAGCAAGCTATTTTATCTTCTTCAAGCGGAAATTTATAGTCATAGGTTATTTCCTCATTCACGCCTATCGGTTGCTTTGAGTATATGACTATTTTTTTTTCCGATTCGATTGTTATTACTTTTGCATAACAGTTTGGCTGTAATGATAAAAGAAAGTCTTATAATCTAATTTACAGTTTGATGAAAGTAATACTTACATTGCAACTATGATTTATAAAACGAGCTAAATTACCACATTTAGTAGCATCGATTATAGTTTCCATATCTATGCGAAATAGATATGAACTTCCAATTCCTCTTGATTCATAATTTGTTTCTCTTAAATCAGCTACCACAGGTCGTATCATTTGACCCACATACTCAATTACCATTTCATCTGCTGCAATTGGTTCCATTGCAAATAAACCCCAATCATGTATTGCAGATTTTGCAAACTTGAGTAATTTTTTTCGAAATTTAAGTTGATTAAATTTAAGAAGCTCTGATTCACCTATTGATGCAAACGCTGTTAAAAGTCTTCGTTGATTAGATCTTGCTTCGCGGGAAATGCCCTGCATTTTTGAAACAATTTTGTTGTGGGTAGGAAGCGCCTGTTCATCTACTCGATCTAAGGACAACGAATTGTCTGCATTTGCTTTAGCATGATGATATTTATGTTTAGCTTTCTCTCGTATATCAAGTTTGTAGTAACCCTCTGTCCGTGCACACCCAGTCTTATGACGAATTAATTCATCTTCTTTTTTACGTTTTTTATTTGAAGGTGGCATTAACGAACGATCAGTAATGCAATGATCAACCCAGTGCGTATTATTTAGCAAATATCTATAAGATAATCAAAAATTTTCAAAAATCATTTTCGCAAATCATGCAGATTGAAATCCTAAATAAACATCAAAATTAATAAAATATAAATATAACTATTGCACGCTCTCCCTTTGTAGAGTTAAGTATAAATTAGAAAATCATTTATAAGAGAAAATTATAGAGAATAAGATACATTTAAAGTTATGATCTGAGCAAGCTTTGAGTAAAAAGCTTTATTTGTAAGCTCAGGCTATTTGAATTTAAAAGTAGGAGCATTGCTCACTTAGTTTAGAATTTTGTTACGAACTTTATGAACGGAACACAGTAGAAATCACTACTAGTGTAAATAAATATTTTTTTAATAATCCTAACCAGCTTGCATTTATCAATTTACATAGTTATAATTTAGTTAAAGGAGCTAATTCTCGAAAGTTTTAATACCAAAAGAGTGCCAAAAATGTATCAATTTGTTGATCAAATTAATTTCATTAAAAACATATATTAATTGCAATATTTAATTCGAAATATAACAGTTTTTATCTTTCACTGTTCAGAAAATTAAATTAATTCTTTTTATTCGATGGTAATATAAAAATGTCGGTGAAAAAGTGACAGGCTCTTAGTTTATACATTAATTAGACTCTAATAAGGGGATCTACACTCTAATAAGTGCAGTTTAGAAACTGTACTCTTTAAAAGTTATTAATTTTTTACTTCTGTCATTGCCATGTTTTTTTCTTATGAATTTTTTTTAATTAGTTCTATGCAATATATATGCATAACATTATATCACAACTTACCCATATACATAATCATTATGTAAGTGTTTTTGATAACCCAACCGCATGTATTGTATATCTTCGGCATCTATCCCTTTCGTGAGGAACTCGTAAACTAATAATTGCTCCGTAGTTGGATCCCGTGGTGAAAATATTTCAGCAGGAATAAAATTATGAAATTGGTGTGAGTTAAACGTGGTTGAAAGATTTGTTTGGTTTGATTTTTGTATGCGATCAGACGATTCCCATTTGCGTTTTAGACGTATTGAATCTTTTCTTGGTCTTCCAGGACCAGGCTTTATAACTGATAATTCAAAATCAGAATACTGTTTTTTTGAGCTAAAATTATCATTATGTGTACTGTGTTGAGAAACGCATGTCGCATAGCTACCGTGATCATGAGAGAGGTGATGCTTGAATTGCACAGTTGTTTTTTCATTGAAATATGTATTATTTTTAGATGACTGATTTTTTTTGGTAGAAGTGTTATCAGCTTCAGGAGGTAATGAGTAACAATGCTCGAGTGCTACTTGGCTCGCTTGACTAGATGCATCATCAGAAGAATTCGGCGACATTTCAACACCATCTGTTTGGGAATTCATTGATTCTAACTTTAAAATATTTGACACATTCGTGTTTGTAGTGTCAATTTTATTGTATCCATTAGATAAGAACTGGTCGACATCAGATATATCTTTTTGTAATATATCTTGGGATCCAGTATTTTTTATATTAGAGCCATTTTTCAATTTATTTTCACTATTGGAGTCTACAGTATTTATCCTTGTAGTGATAACAGTTTTTTCACTGGATATTTCCATATTAGAACTAGGAGTATCTATAGAAGATGCTACACTGAGAGTATGTGATGCAGTGGTTTTTGAAGTATTTTGAACTGTTGTCGACAATTTCTCTGGTATTGGACTAGTAGTAGTATTGTTTTTAATTTCTTCCTGTTCTTCATTCTTTTGGCGTTTTTGTTCTTCCATAAATTCCTGTTCAATTTGTGCCATATATTCAGTATTCCGTCGTCGCCGTTCTTGATATTCTCGCTCCTCTTCAGAGTCACTATATATTCGATCAAACACTGATTTTTTTTCAGCTTCTGACAATTTTTTCTCTTTATTTATACCCACATCAATAACGTTCTGCTGATCTTCCAAATCTTTTGAAATGATAGGAGTATTTTCTGTTTTTGTAATTTTATTTTCTTCAATGCTTAAAGTGCTATCTTTACTTATATCTTCCAGATCAGACAGAGATGCTCTTCTTATATTTCTGCATATGGATGGAACCACGTCCTTAGTCACCTGTTCACATTCGGAGTCAGAATAAACGTTCGGTTTAGAGTCACAAGAATCAGAATTACGATGTTTAGAAACATTCGGTTTTAATTCTTCATCTGATATTAAACTCAAATCATCATAAGATACTGTACTCCCATTTTCACTACTTTGAAGCTCACCGTTTTCAGAGGAAGATGAAGAAACACTTGATGTACTTAATATACGATTATGTTTTGTAATAATTGAGAAACCTTTTGTTGTATTTAATTCTTCATTTTGTTGATAATTAAATTGTGAAATTGCAGAAACAGAATTACCCTCGTCTAACTCTGAATCTGAGCCATGAACCATTTCTTCTTGATCACTTAGATGCTTCTCTATATCTTTATTATTATGTGGACTTTTTTCTTTTCGTATGCGTCTAAATGAAGGCAATTTCGGTATAGAAGCACGTAAACCAATAGTAGAATATGAAGTGTAATCTGATATATCTCGTGTAATACTAGAAATCTGGTTATCAACTTTTGTACTAGATTGAATCGGAAATGTTAAACTTGTCGTTACGGGTAACGTTTTGTCTAAATTTTTATCACATTTATCTTTAAAGCGATTTTTTTGCAAATTTTCATCCCACCACATCTCAAATTTTTTATATGCAGTGCTTTCAATAATTTTTTTATTAAAATCACGCTTCAAAATTTGTTTAAGTTCATCACTTACACGATTTACCACTTCTTCAATTGGTTTAATATAATGTTCATATCTATTATGATAAATCTCTTTATAATTTTCATTTGATTTGCAGTGTGAAAGATTAAAATTATTATATTGTTCATTTATAACATAACTGGAATTTAATCCAGCAGCTCCAAATCCAGGAAGATAAGTTGATGGCATATATGCAGGATTTTGAAAATATTGAGACGAATTTATTTGTCCATATAAGAAGTTAGAGTACGTTACAGGGTAGGAATATATATCACTATTATTTTTTTCTGAATTAGGTAAATTCAAAGATGAATTCACCACAACATTAAAAGGTTCAGGTGGAGGCTTTTCTTCAATATGTTGTCCATTTCCATCTTGTGATGATATACTTGACAGCGATAACCTATCATCTTCTTTTAAATGACCTGAAATGATTGGGCTATATGATTCTTTTTTTAGTAATATTTCATCATCACTTGAAGATATATCACTGGTGCTTTGTTGAATCTTAGAATTTTGTGATTTTGGACGTTTAAATCGTTTATGGGAGAGCAATTTTGATTTCAATTTTTTGTTTTTATCTGCATCAATAATTCGTATTTCTTTATGAAATATTTTTTCCGTATCGGACTCACTACTATCCATTTGAAGAAATGGGGGTGCATCACCAAATGATTTACCTTTGAACATCATAGCTATTCTCGTATCTAAATCCACGTTCACAGCATTAACTTCATTATTTTCACTCAAGCCGGACGTAGAAAGCTGGAATGAAGATATTGTAGATTGCTTTGTACTATTTAAATATTCAAGCGAAGACTTTGATATAGGAGTTACCGGTTGAACTTCGGAATCATCATCCCAATTTGGTGTTGAATCTGGTTGTATAGTAGGCGGAGATACTTTTGGATGACTTATTGTCCAGTCTTTGCGATCCGTCCGATGACGGTTTGAATAATTATTGTAAGGCGAAAAATTTGAATTTTTAGCATCCAAATTCGTCGAGAAATAATTCGGAATTGACTGTATATTACTTGACGCCGACGTGTTCAATGAATTATATCTTGACGAAGTCGAATTGTCACCTAAATTGTCGCGCGTATGTAATTTAGGTTGCCTAGAAGAATATTTGTCACCACGCTCTTTACATATTTGATTTTTTTCCTTACTACCTAGATCTTTGTGTTTACCAGATATGTTACTGCGTCTGTCGTTATCTATAGATCTTTCTTTATCTCGATCTCTGTTGTGGTCATGTCGTTTGCTACCGTTTTTCATTGAATTATATTTATAATCAACAGACCGTTCCCTTTTTCTATGATAATGCCGATGCTTGGATCGGTCTTTATCATATGAAGATAAATATCGATCTCTGCTACGTTCTCGGTCGCGAGTAATTCTTATATCGGCATGATTCCGATCATTTCCATTATATCGTTCACGATTATGTGATAAAATTTGACGTTCTTCGTAACCTCTATCCTGTAATACTTTATTGCGTGAAGTACTTGTGACTATATGTGAAATTGGATTAGGTGCTTGTATAACAGTGTCGGACGAACTATGCTTCACAAGTTGAGTATTTGGTATAGATTGTCTGGGTTTTGCGGACATTATATTTTCAATTGTTGATTTACATAATGTACCAAATGGATCATAAAACACATTTATTAGCTATAAAAAAATATAAATTTTTAAAACTTCATTAATAACAAAACAATAATTCTAATAAACTGCTGAATTAAATTAAAAACGAGAATATTATTATTACCTTTCCCATAACAGATGTTTGGTTATATTTGTCAATACAAATGCGAGCAGCTTTTGGGGTTTCAAAAACAATACGTGCGACACCCAAGTGTTTATTACTGACTGGATGATGGTATATGTTAATATCGTCTTGAATTCCACATTTGTCCAACATCCCAGTTAAAAATGGTTTATCTATGTTGTCATTCAAATTAGTGATTGTTATTTCGACTGATGGTGGTTCTCCAACATAGTTCTTGTCAATTTTAAACCTAAAAACAACATATTAATTTTTTTTCAAATTTATATTCAAACATACCTGGGCACAGTTAATATCATGGGCTCAATAGGTCTTGATCGGATACGTGTTCCACCATGTCTAGGATCCATTACGACGATGGGTGTTAAACCTGAATCTGGTGGTGCGATACCATCGTAACGATACAATTTGATGACTCCCCTTATAAGTGAGGGGTCGGCCATTAATTTGAAATTTCTAGTTTTTAAAGCTACTTGGTCAGGATGAATAAGGTGGTCTTTGACATTTCCATCGTTACTTGTAGTTAAATTGCTTCGAATATAATTCTCCATGTTTTATGAAAGTATATAGCAATCCAACTAACGTGTTGAATGATAATTTCGTCTAAAATTTCTATATTCCCGTTCTAAAACTTTACCTTCCTTACATATTCTATTTAGACAATAAAAATTTGCAAAAATCAAACAACCCAATTAATGTAGTTAATAAGACAAATTGGATTTGATGGGTCAAATTGAAATAACTCACACGACTACAACGCTTTTGGAAAAAACTAGAAAATCACCACATTACAAAACATTTAACAATGATTTTATATGCAGCTTAAATTAATAAATTCATGTCTTAAAAAATACTAAAAATAGACACAGTCGGAGATAATTATTTGTAAATGATATTTAAAATTAATCGATGCCCAAATACTTCGCTAACACAGAGTCTAATCAGTTGATCTGATAGCCACTAAAAATAATTTCTTCCGAATACAAAAAGTCCGTGCGAATGAGATGACACGATAAACAATATATGTGGCCATTAATGTTTCTATATAAGACTTATACTATCCATCACGCTGCCAAGCATGTCGTCTGATTTCACTTCTTCCGCAGATTATGTAAACATGTTACACTTCACAAATATATAATACCTAGAGATTATATTTCATAATACATTTATTGGCCTCTTTAAGATTTTCATTTAGAATGCCAAATTCTTCAAATAATAAAATTGTTTGTATTTATAATACACACCTTACACATACATTTACTTTTTTATGGTCGAATTCTGCTCTATAGTTTGCACACAAAACGCCCACTTACTATGTTTCTATTCAGCAAAACTAATTAGCTACATCACACATTCAATAAAAAGTATTATTAGATCTGATAACTTTTTATTCAAACAGAAATGCTTCAACTTTGAAATTTTAGTTAAAATATATATGAAAGATATGGAAATACCAAATTAAAATATACATATAAAACACTAATAGCAGGGAGTCTATTCCTTAACTGAGTAAACTGCAATGTACACAAAAATTTGTTTACATTCTGATTTTGCTATTCCTTAACTGTGAACAGTGATTTTTACTGTCAAAAAATATACACTTTTCTCAAATTTTTTCCACTCGAAATTTGGCAATAACTTTTTAAAAAAATACAAAAGTTTGTGCATGATTATATATAAATCTGTATTACTATTCTTTTATAGGTTTTTAAAAATGAAAAAGGCAAAAAAGCAACCGAATAGCAAAATTTGTACTCGAAGATCAATATAGAATTATCTAACGATAGAAATATTTTGAATTTTTATACTATAAGAACTGTAAAAAGTTATAAAAACATGAAATATAAAATTTTTGGTATGAATATTATCAAAAAATTGCGTATTAATTCATATAATGTATACCATTTTGTTTACTTATTTATTTTCAGTAACTGAATTTATTCAGTATAAATACAAATTTCTTCACTCATAATTGTCAAAAATACATTCAGCACGAAAAACTCCCTAGTACTTGAGAACTAGCATTTTACAAAAAGTGTAAACTACTATGAGAAATAAGTTTAAGAAATAAGCTGTGTACAAAAAATTTTTTATTGCAGTTGAGGAATCGGCCCTCCGTTTTGTGTTTGTGCTATTATCCACATATACAATAAACATTAATTCATTCGCAATATCTATTCATAATACAATAATTGTCACTTCTTCTGTCAATTTAAGTCCTTTGGAGAATTGCATTTTGTGTTAAAATATTTTATTAGGCCCATGTTATGTAGAGTGTCACGGTCACGTCTAAATCAAAATTATTGTTGCTTTCAATGCAAATTAAAAACTGAACGTGAGAGAAAAAAACAAGCCCCTGTTTAAATTCGGTTATGAGAGCCGAGGCTATTTGTACTCATCACTCAGCGAAAACCGTGTTGTATGTATTTCCTTTAAAATTTAGGCACAACCAAAAAATACAAAAGTAATAATAAAATACGAAATTGACAAACTGATGGAACACTCTGCATATAAACATATGTTTATAATTTATTTTCGTATTCATGGATTCATGGATGTATGCAGTGATTATTATGCTGTAAAGCACTTATTCATTGGCATTATTTTTCCGAGAGATAAAAAGGTGTACGCAATAGGAAACTCTAAGTTGGTGCACCAACTTTTAGACTTGACTAAATTTTTCCAATTGTATATAAATTATTGTTCAATTATATATTGTGTTATGTATGCAGCAGGTATGTCATGTAATGTTTTCTCAATAAATGCTGTTGATGTGGATTGGCAAGATCGTTAGGTAATGAGTTTGCCTGATTCCTGAAAAGAATTCAAGGATCGCCTATTCAACCAAATATGAGGAAACGACCTGACTTTGTAAAGACAAGTATTACTTAGCTCTTCAGCCGCTTATAGTTCTTTCAGTTTCTAACTGCCTCATAGAACTCGATTCAAAAGAAAAGACGTTGCCTTATCTTGAGTTAAATTCAATCTGATTTTATTGTTAATAATTTTGGGCTTTTTTTTGTTCTTGTGGTGCGCATCTTGTTGTTAATAATAATGAGAATAATTACTGCAGCTAACACGATAAAGGACGCTACGGGAATCATTACCCATTTAGACATTTTCTGATATTGCAGCTCTTCTTTTAGTGTCATGATGTGCTCAGTATTGTCAATGTGCATCTGGTTTAAAAAATGAAGCGTCAGTTTAGTATCGTGCCTCAACTGGTTTAGATCCAAGGTTTTAGGAGGATGGGGTTGGGGCAAACTTATATCTTTAGCAGCTTCAAAAAAAGAGTTGTTTACTCGTATTTTACCGGAAAATTCCAATAAAAATGTTCCCGATACTGTCATATTTTTTTCGTAAAATATGGTTGTATTTGACACGTCATTCAGAATAATTATTCCCTCGACGATTGTCTGGATTGCTGGTAAGTGATGAGCTGATTCGGTTGCGCAGCTTGCTGTATTGTTGTTTAACAGTTGTGAGATACACGAAGATATTGTTGGTTGACAAATGTTGATAGCGACAGTTTCAATACAATCCTGGACAGGTTTTGACATTTTACCGCAGACTGCTACTTCATTAACTTCTAATTTTATTATAGACTTATTGTGAACAACGGGAAAAATTTTAACATAATCGCAAATAGAATTAATAAGAGGAATTTTTAAAATATAATATATCATTGTACTATTCTGTAATATTTTGATTTTAGCAGAACTTAAAATATTGTTTATACTTATTTGTACGTTCTCAATGTCTGTAATATGTTCTAGTTCTATGGTATCAAAAATTAAGGGATTGACTATACCTCCTTTAGCCATGATAATCGACATCATCACGGTATTCAGATGGGTAATAGCCCCATTATTTCGGTTTACGACATACTGAGTTAATAGATCTTCTTTATCAATAGCATTACTGTTGGTGTGATGCTGTATGGAGTTAATAATACTAGTCAATTCATTGATTCTGTCCTGTAATAGAGTGTTTATCTTTGTCTGCCTATTGCTATTTTCAATCAACACATTTTCTTTTGTTAAAAGTAATTCATAGTCACTATGATCAGGTGTTCCTGCTACAAATTTTAGGGCAGAACCCAGAAAGTCGATTGCTCTTGCGTATCTTCTGGGTATTTTCAAGGTATTTATAATTCTCCTGATTTCGTTCGCCTGATCACTTAGGATGTCCTTATTGTGATTAGATTTATCAAGTTGGTATGAAAGATCTTCACTGAACTGTGCTATTTCCTCATATTCGGAAAGGTTAGTAGCATGAATAAGGTACGTTGATTCATCAAACATGGCAGCCTTTCCCAAAGTGATTGCTATAAAATGGGTGGAAGTAAAGTCAATTATTTTCGCCATTGACAATTGGCAACAGAGTAGAATTCTGAAAGGAGAAAAGGAATAATGTTTACCTTAGATTACTTTTATGAATAGTTTTGCCATTAATTTGTACTGTAGTGCCAGTATCTCTTTCTATTGTGGCCTGTATAAAAATTTTACTAAACTTATTTCCTATTCGCTTATTGCGTTTAACAAAGACAATTTCGCCAGGGTGATAGATTTTAGTTAAAGCTTTTCTGTTAAAACGTTCTAGCGATTTGCTTTGAGCTTCTTTTAGTTTTTCTATATTGTCTTTAATCACTACTGGTGAGGAATCATATAGTAGGTCTTTAGGTTTTTTACCTGTTACGGAATGGATACTATTATTGTATTTAAAGTTTGATATCAAAATTACTTCTTTTATACTGGTTATATTTTGCTGTGCCATTACACATCGTGCTATTTCAAGAAGGGTTGAATGAAATTTTTCCACTTGACCATTACTTTCGCTATGGTTGGCAGGAACAAAAAATTGTTCAATTGAAAAATTATCCCTTAAAAATGTCGTAATAGTGTTCGACCGTAGGGCACTTTCGTTGTCAGACACGAGTATTTTAGTGTTTTTAAATATAGAGAGTATTTGTATGAGCGCAAGTTTAACATCTGGAGAAGATCGAGATGCTATTGGAATTGTAACAGCGAATTTCGAAAATTTATCAATGCACGTGAGGAAATATTGTTTATTAGTGATCAAAATGTCAATGTGTAAAATTTCGCCTGGTAAGTTTGGTATGGGTGTGCTACCTATTTTAGGGTGTGGAGGTTTTCTTTGGTATTTATTTTCTTTGCATATTTTACAGTTACTTATTATTGTCTGAAGCATTTTTTTGATTTCTGGAAAGTAATATTCCTGGGAAATTTGGAGGTAGTTTTCTCGTAAAGATCTGTGTGCTCGATTATGTTCATTGTTAGTAATTTCACATTGATCATCTTTGTTTATCACATCGATAACCATTTTTTTTGCGTGAATAAATTTCACTGCAGGAAAAGCTATTTTAATTGGATGCTGTATTTCTGCTAATGTTTCTAAACTGCAATGAATCGCATTAGTTGTATCAGGATTTATTGTCTCTTTGAGATATTTTATCAGACTATTTATACTACTGAAATTTATAAAATGCCGCATGAATTTTTGAAAGAGTATTTTTTTACCCTTAAAAGTATGATTTGACTTAGTTAATATCAGCTGGTTTTTAAATTGGTTAACTGGAAATTTAGTGGATGTAATTGTTTCAGTAAGTGAAATTTCGCTGTGAACAGTTTCTCCACCAGTTTCAGTATTAGAGATATTAAACATTAACTGTCTAGAAAGGGCATCTGCTACAATGTTAGCTTTGCCAGGCTTATAATGAAATTTCGGAGCAAATTCTTCAATGAATGCCCGCCATCGTTTTATTTTTGAGTTAGGGTTTTTGTCTGAGACAGCAAAGGTTAGGGGCTGATGGTCTGTAAAAATATTAATATTAGTTATTCCATAGAGGTAGTGTCTTAAGGCCTTTAAAGCCCAGACAATGGCTAAAAGTTCTCTCTCGTTTGTGGCATAATGTTGCTCAGTGTTAGATAGGGTGCGCGAAATCATGGTTATTGGTCGGCCTTTCTGTGAGAGGACCGCTCCTAAAGCAACTGATGATGCATCAGTCGTTAAATCGAATGGTTCTGAATAGTCAGGGTGTGCCAATAGAACATCATCTGAAGCCAGAATTTCCTTAAGCTTCTCAAACGCCTCTAATGCGTCTTTGTCTAG